TCACCAGCGTGCGTCACGCGACGGTAGGTCCTGTTCATCGCGTTCCGCTCCTCCTCATCCTCCTTGTCAAGCCCGAAGACGGTGTCAACGTAATCGCAGAGTCCCTGATTGCCAACCTTGGGTTCCCCAAACGTCGTGACGATGACATCATCCCATCCGAGGGACACCTTGATCTCCAACGCCGCGAGCATCGCCACCGCTCCGCCGAGACTGTGCCCGACCAGGTGCACGGGATAATCGGGGTACTCCTCCCTCAGCCTCTTCAGCTCCGGCAGCACGAGCTTCCTCGCCTGCCGCCATGACGCCAGGAACCCCATGTGCACGGTGCAGTCCTGGCAGCGGTGCTCACGCGGCGGCTCTTCATCGCCGTCGTCTGGCGACGGGTACGGGACATACTCCTGCGGGATAGTGCTGAGATCCACGACGGTGTTGGTGATGCTGTACGTTCCGCGAAAGGCGACGATGATGGCCTTGTCGCCGACCTCGCCCTCGAAGCGGTCCTCATCGCCCGGGCGGCGCACGCCGTGGTCGACGGCGATGTAGCCACAGCTGTCGCTCAGCAGGACGCCCGTGTTCCATGTCGTGACTAGGTTGAAGGAGGGGAATTCGTTGCAGCGCGATACGCAGGAGAAGGGCCGCGAGATGCCCGAGGTGCCGACGCAGTAGGTTATGTCGACGATGCGGGAGGTGCGTTCGAGGGAGCGGAATAGGTCGACGGATATCGTTGGGGGAGTATTCGCGGTGACGGGATCGAGGCCGAGGATGGGGTGTTGTTGCGAGGGTTCGGTGGGCGTGGCGGTGGCTAGAAAGCCGAACAACGGCGCGAGCTGGAGCGGACGTCGCATCGCGAAGGTCGCGGAATCGATCTGTGGTGTCTTTCAAGTGTCTTGATGAAGTGCAGGCTGTGGTTGATGATGATCGAGGCCGCGAGACATTGCGCGGGGGGGTCTGCCACTCGATGCAACGATGCCGGGGAATGGGCGTAGATAATTATAAAACGCAGCTCAACAATAGGTAGGAATGGGGTCGAAAGAGCAGGTGGGCAACCGAAGCGACGATGACCACGTTAGAACGGTCAAGCAAAGCCCGTCAATACCTGACCTTCCAAGCACACATGATGGCGACTGCACATTGTGAGCGTGCTGCTTGGAAAGGGAAATTGCGTCGTGGAGGGAGGATCTGCGACGACGCAGCAGGACAGGATACCGACGTCTCAGACTGATCTCGTGAGGTGAGCGTGGTGAGGTCATACGGCCATGCAGAAAAAAAGGACGAGACAGCTTCCCGTTGAGTGGGAATGCGGAGGCGCGCCAAAGCGACGATTGCCGACGTATGGTTGGTCCAGAGTGCGTCGGTCCCTGGAAGCCCGCTGGGGAAAAGCCTGGGGTTGGACTGCTTTGCCCCGCGAAAGTGTGCTGCCAGACGCATCTAGCCGGCATGGTAATGCTCCCCCCTTCAAAAGCCCACCTGCCCAACTCGTTGGGGAAATTCATTTCAGCAGTCTCATGCGAATGTTAAGGTGGATGCTCACTCAGGTGGGCGGGAAGTCTATTGATTGTTCTATTTTCGTCAAGTACAGTTGTGTCGTCGGACAAGTCTTCTCGTCTCATCGTGATTCGGGGGGAAGAGTATGTTGGCCCTCCCTGTTCCTCTTAGGTTCATACGTCAAATCTCATGCCAAGGTTCGATCACCAGGCCTCAGCGTCTGTTCCATCTTTCCCATTCTGGCTGTTTGCTTTTTTTAATGTTCATCTCAACGTGACCCTTCTTAACTGCTGGGTACGGGCTGGATGCTGAAGAATTTCGCTCGGATGTCGTCCGAGTTGGATGTGCATGCAACGGCTCTCCTGGCACGCCTGTGCGACCGCGCAGACACTCCGCTGGCGGTGCCGTTGCATACGAGAGGAACGGATGCCGTTCCGGATGCCTCATAATCGGCGGCGCTGTAGGTGGCTTTAGTTGTTGCGCGAGAGCTGCCAGGCAGGTCCTCATCAAGTCACTTACCCATCATCGCCTGGGCAAACCTTCTCGATCACAGTGATGGTGTTGTTTTGCCAGATAAATTGCACCATCGAATTCTCGCAGCTATATCTTGGCGTGCGACCGTCGCCTGATACCGGCACGGAAGAGGCGTTGAGGTGGCATGGCGTGTTGAGGGTGGTGCTGTCGTCGTTGAAGGTGAAGTCCAGCGAATCTGCCGTCTGGCCGTCCGCAGACTGGGCGGCAAAGTTCTGGATCTGGAAATCGTCCGGCAGGTTGCAGTTGCCTGCGTCCGCCATGGCCATGACGGAGTCCGGGACCGCTGCCATGTAAGAGACCATGGCCTGGGCCGCAGGGGCGGCGGCAAAGAGGAGGGACAACTTCATGATGACTGGTGGTATGTGTATAGTATCTAGCTGGGGTTCAAGAGATGGAGATATGAGCCTCAAGTGAAGGATGTCAAGCTTAGGATAGAAGAGACGAAAAGTTTGGATGAACGATGGAGCGTGGAAAGGCAGCAAGCAGGGTGGTCTATAAACAAATCCCAGGCAGATCCTCGCGGTCAGGTCCTTCCAACTACGTAGCTAGCTTCACGTTTAAATACGAATTGGTTACTCGCAGGATCAGACCCAGAAAGATCTCCCTCCCGCTGCCCTAGCGTTGCTGCGTGCCTTGCAGACTTCTTCAGGGGCCCGGGAGGGATGAGCATGGCTAAACATCTCCAGAGGCGCGCAAGCTCTCTGCAGATCCTGATGCAATCATCCGGTCCGGCCGTGCCTACGGGAATGGCTGAGTTGAGGGGTTGGACGAGCATGACTCCAGTTTAGGGGAAACAGCAAGCACTGCCGTCATTAAAGATGGAGCACAGGGCGAGGAGGGAGAGGAGGTTGATGCTCGCTTGCATTACACGCCGCAAGCTCAGCGTTGCGTCCGTTGGTCGTTTAGCAGTTGGTCCAGGGGAGCCGCTCAGCCTTGATTGGCCGCTGGGTGTTTCATGTTTCCCAGCATGGCATCCTTACAAGCAGGACCTTCCAACGTCCTTGCTGATGTTGATCTCTTTCGGCCCCCCTTTTGGGTAAAGGCCAAATCCTGGCTGAATGGGCCAATTCACTCTCCGCCATTTATGATTCGGACGGCATTGTTGGGAGGCGGTGTTCAAGGGGCTGGAGACTGGAAGCTGAGAGGTTGGGGGCTGGGCTGTCCGCGAAATAAGATACCCGTACTTAGATGTAGAACAGGGCAGCAGGAGACCAAAATGCTTGATTGACAAGGCGCCAACGCGCGGCTCTTTCCACGGCAGACTCCTTGCCGATTCGGGAATCACGCATGTTGGAAGAAGCAACCATGCTGAACTGGCAGTGGGTTTTCTCGCGGAGGCTCTTACGCTCGAGGGCAGATACGAGCTGCATGCGGTGAATCGTCGCCTTCAGTCGAGGCACAGCATTCGATAGACTTGTATCTAAATTTGTCCCCCGAAAGAGTGTTGGTCCATGTGGAAAGTCGGTGAGATGAAGCGACAACAGCACTGAGAGACCGTCTAGAACAAGGTCGCTGAACCTTAACACATGTATGCGTATCAACCAGCTGAATCTGTTAAGGATGCTCACTTGCATCTGGATAGCCAACGGACCAATCAGAAATCATCGGCGATAGCTAGCAAGCCAGCCAGCCAGACCCCGCAGCAGTGCAGCAGGCAGCGGCCAGATCTGTTCGCCAAACCCCAAGGCACGTGACCACACAAACCCACTCGCGGAATTTCGATTCCACCCCGAACTTTTTTTTCGGAGGGACGCCTCTTGATCTTTGACCACCACGACAATACTAACCCGACAACCCAACCGTCCATCAGCAGCATCAAGATGGCCAAGGAAGCCCCCGCCCGCACTGGTCTGGCCACTGGCCTGAACCACGGTCACGTACGTCGCCTCGCAATCCCGACCTGAAGAGGATTTTCGCGTCCCCCGATTTTCTCTCGATCGATCGACTTCCGAAGAACTTGAAGAAGAACTTGTCTCCGAAAGGGGAGGGGGATTCTCATGAGGACAAGGAGTGAACATCGATCGAGAGCAAAGAGGAGGAAGAGAATAATTCTCTGAAGGATACATGACACCGCTTCGTCTCACCTCGTGGAGGATCTCTGCACATCATACCCTCTCTTCCACGAGGGGAGCGAGCACCCTCGCTTTTACTGCAGAAGATGGACGCTGACCGGTTGTGATTTCCCCCAATATAGAAGACCACCGCTCGCGTCGTCAAGCCCCGTGTCTCCCGCACCAAGGGCCACCTCAGCAAGCGCACCTCTTTCGTCCGTGACGTCGTCAAGGAGGTTGCCGGGTAAGTTCACCATAATCCCCATTTTAGTAGTCTGGCGGACGACTGTCTGCCAATTCATGCAACACGGTTGCTAATCATCACTCCCCTCTTCAGCCTCGCTCCCTACGAGCGCCGTGTCATCGAACTCCTCCGCAACTCCAAGGACAAGCGTGCCCGTAAGCTCGCCAAGAAGAGGCTCGGTACCTTCGGCCGTGCCAAGAGAAAGGTCGAGGAGATGACCCGCGTCATCGCTGAGTCCCGCCGTGTCGGTCACTAAACGGAACAAATCAAATCAAAATCGGGTTTATTGTGCTGCACTACGGCAAATTTTTTATCGGGGTCCGTTTTGGGCAACAAAAGTATCAAATGGGTATAAGGCGTGTGGTCACAAAAGTGGTCTCTTTCCCGGGAAAGCTTCCTCACGGTTTCTGATGAAGGCTGCTGCATTTGCATCATGGGATAGCATTGCAGCTTCACGACAAATACCAAAATTTCAAGCAAGCCCGTTGCTGCCTCGATTTGCTACTTCATGAGCTCGGTCTCGCTTGTGCGATGTGACTTGTATGATATGATTGCCTCTCTACATGCTAAATCATCGGAAGCATTGGTCTCATCCCTCTAAGCCTTAAACTCCGCCCATGGATACCGCGCACCGTCCGCACAGAGCAGCGCTAGATGCTTTACATCAGAAGGGAAAACAACTCCATCTACTTCTTTCCAGGGAGCTTAAGCCACTTGGGTAGTTTCTTGGCCACACTACCCTCACCTACCTCGCTCTTCTCTGGCTTAGCCGCTGCGGCCGCCTTCTGACCGTCGTCTTTCTCATCTACGTACTTGGGTACGTCTGGTACTGTAATGTCTTTGGCCCTCTGCGCAATGTCACCCTTCAGGAAAGGCTTCTTGCGAATATCCGCCGGCACGCTGTCATCCCAAACCAGGCTCAGAAGAACATTACGTGTGAGCTTGTAGTCGTGGATGAGCCGGTTCTTGGGCGTGTTCTCGTCCTTGATCACGGTTTTGCTGCCAGGAATCACCAGTCTGAAAGCTTGACCCGTGTGTGCCATTGCTTGCCTCACTCCTTGGTAAAGCGTGGCGCCGGTGGCCTCGTGGCCGAACTCCCACTGAGCAGAGGTGTTGTCGGGAAATCTTACTTTCACGACAACTTTCGAAACGGACGCTAGCTTTGCCTCCTCTGCCTGAGCCTGTGCCTCCAGTTCTCTGTCTGATAGAAGCCTCTTGTTCTGGGAGCTTTGCTGAAGTCGAGCCTGGTGTAGTTGTGCATGTGCGATCGTCGGCGTGTAGTCGTTTTCTGATACATCCGCAAGAGCAGCTGCTGGTGTTGTGCCGCTCGGCGCCCGGAAAACACTGACGGGTTGCAAAGGATCGAGAGGTTCGGCTGGGTCCACGTCCATTGCTTCAGGCTCTGCCGCTGCCTGGTTCGCCGCCTCCTGGAGCGGCGCTTCTTTTGTTTGTTGGTTTTGTGAGTCCTCCGTACCCTCCATCGATGTGGGCGCTTCCTCGGTGGCAGTCTGGGCGGCTTGTTCAGTCGGCGCCGGTTGCGTCGCGGGCTCAAGGGCGGCAGCCTCAACCTGACTATTCTTCTTCGCCTCGGCCTCAACCTCGGCGAAGAACTGAATGATCTGCTCCATGGCGTCAAACAAAGTCTGCTCCGTCTTTCGGAAGGACAGCCTAATCAGGACACTGCCTGAGTTGTATCCAAGTTGCGACAGAGTCTTCTGGAAATCCTCGAACGTCGCCAGCTCTCGACCCATGATGTTGAGCACTGGCGTCTCGTAGTACATCTGGCCGCTGCCAGTTGCTCCTCCGCTTGTCGTCTGCGCGACGCCGCGCGCGGTGATGTTGAGGTTCTTGCCTTGGCTAACACCGCTCTCGAACTGGCGCAGAACCTTCCATATCGTGAAGTCGCTCGGGAGTTTCTCAATCAGTCGCCCGTTCGGCGCTGTGTTTGCTTCGGGCATCGGCAGTTGGAGGGCGACCGAGACGGCGGAGGGAGTGTTCGACTTCTGGACGAGCTCAAGCTTGGCGCCGGGGCTGAGACCGCTTACTCTCCAGACGATAGACAGATCGACGGTCTTTTGCTTATGTCTGCCAACTGGTTAGCAAGTGGTGACAAGGAATTTCTTATGGTTCTCTGCGGGTGCGTAACATACTTGAGGATGTACTTGTCGCTCGACAAGTTCAGCTTCTTGCAAGCCTCTTGCAGGACATCTGTCATATAGGTGCCTGGGCTAACCTTGACGGTGGCCCTCCGCAGGTCCGAGCCGATTACCACCACATGCGAAGACATTGTGGTAATATGATTCTGGTGTTTGATTTTGCAAGATCGTATCCGACAGCGGGAGAGATGTTGGCCGTCGTGAGGTGAGGTAGGAGAGGTTGGCCTTTAGCTGTTGTATCAGGGTCAAAGTGTCGTTGGCGGGGTTGAACGCTCGGCGGGGGGCAACAGCAATGTTGCGTCAAGCTCTCGCGGCTTGTATTAGTGATGGAAGTCGGCGGAACAGTGAGGAAAGTGACGGCCAGGCACTTGGCAGCGGTATTGTTTTGTCCAAGGCCGGAAAGGCGGTATTCTAGGGTAAGAGATTGTATAAACCAAAGACTTTGTCTTGCATTCAGGTTCTAAGCATAGTCGAGGTACCTACTTCTCAATGTAGGTAGGGAAGGCGGGATACGTGAACAGGCCAGGCAGACAGGAGGTAGTCAGCAGAGGCAACCGGGGACGTGCATCATCGCTGAGCACTCACTGAGAGCTGCCCAGCCCGGCAGCAAGCTCGGGCCAATCAGCTAGCTTCAGCCCGCTGTACGTGGATTTTCCGACCGCTTCGGCCGCGCCATGCGTGTTTGCCTTGCCCTGCAGTAGTAGCAGAGCAGTGGTGTACCTCAGCATTCCGATCCCGTCAACCTCCAATTGCAGCTCCCACCTGCCCATTCATCACGACCACCTTCGACGCAACACCAGGGCTATCCACAGCCAACCCCGCGATACATCACGACCTGATCCTCGACGGCCCCTCTGCTTCGACTCAACACACAAGCTTCCCAGTCCCCAGCGGCCCCTCGCTCCAGGAGCCAAGATGGTATGCTCGTCACTCCCCCTCCTCAGCCTCGAGGTGCAGACCACCAAGCTAACTCCTCCCAGAGCTCCCCCTTCTCCATCAGTTCGTTCCCCTCAACCCGATAGAGCCCCGATGTGCATCGAACTCGCCTTCCTAACATGTAACCTTTTACAGATGGCGGTGCCTGCGTCGCAATGGTCGGCAAGGACTGCGTCGCAATAGCCTGCGATCTCCGTCTCGGTCTCCAGGCCCTGACCGTCTCCAACAACTTCCCCAAGATCTTCCAGTACGGCGACGTCTTCCTGGGCCTCACCGGCCTCGCCACCGACGTCACTACCGTCGGCGACCTCTTCCGCTACAAGGTCAACATGTACCGCCTCCGCGAGGAGCGCAACATCGCCCCTACCACCTTCGCCAACCTCGTCAGCAGCTCCCTCTACGAGCGCCGTTTCGGCCCCTACTTCGTCTCCCCCGTCGTAGCCGGTCTCGACCCCAAGACGGGTAAGCCTTTCATCTGCGGTTTCGACAGCATTGGCTGCATCGACTTCGCCAAGGACTTCATCGTCTCTGGTACCGCCTCTGAACAGCTCTTCGGCATGTGCGAGAGCTTATGGGAGCCGGATCTGGTACGTGCCTCTCTTGAGTTTGCAAATTTCCCAAATATTACGACAGGTTCTGACAACATTTTCAACAGGGCCCGGAGGAGCTTTTCGAAACGATCTCCCAGTCTCTGCTGAACGCCGTTGACAGAGATGCACTGTCTGGTTGGGGTGCGCACGTGTACATTATTGAGAAGGACAAGGTCACCAAGAGGCTGCTCAAGGGCAGACAAGACTAATTTAACGACGGTGAGAAGTGGTGGGAAGAACGTGCTCAATAGGACCGCTGCAAATAGACGGTTTCTAGCTGTACCAATAGATGGATACAATCCACTATGACGGCCTACGAGGCCTACATGAACTAGACGAATGACCTTGTTTTACAATCACTTTCTTTTGGAGCTTCTAGCCTAAGTGTGGTGCTATGGCGTCGTCTTATGTACACTGTGTGTAAGATATGCCAGCTTTGCTATGTTACAAGTGGTCTATGATCTAGCTTGAGCTGATCTCTATCCATCTAAGCCTCCTTCTTTGCCTTGGAGGATGCGATCGCCTTCTTCTGACTGAAGAACGATCTCTCAACAGCCTTAAGGCCCTCATCAATGAGACTAGAGAAAAGTTAGTATATCGTCGGAAAGCTGGTCGAGGGGAAACTTACATGACGGGGGCGCTGATGTACAAGACCGCCTTCCACTCGTTCCAGTTCAGGGGCAGAATGGAGAACAGGCCCTGGAGGAAGGGGGTGTACAGCAGGGCGAAGTGGAGAGCCATCGAGAGGGTGATGGCGTAGACGAGCTTCATGTTGGCCCAGAGAGGCAGAGACAGAAGAGACTCGCTGGACGAGAGAGCGTTCATGGCGTTGAACATCTCAATGACGACGAGAATTGACAATGAAACCGTCGAGGCAGACTTGGCGGCGTTATTGGCGAACATCTCGCAGCCAATCTCGGGGAAGTCGCTGGAGCAGCGGTGGAAGTGAGAGAGGTGCGAGAAGTTGATCTGGGGACCCTCGGGGTTGTACATGAACCACCAAGCGTAGCCGGCCACAGTCGCAACACCGACGTAAGTGCCAATGACCAGGTAGCGGAAGAACAACCAGCCGCCGATCAGAGGCTCGTCACGCTTTCTCGGCTGACGTCTCATGATATCGTGGTCAGGAGGGTTGAACGACAAAGCGGTAGCGGGAAGTCCGTCGGTGACCAGGTTGACCCAGAGAAGCTGAACAGGAATCAAAGCCTCGGGCATGCCAAGGGCGGCAGTCAAGAAGATAGAAACGACCTCGCCAATGTTGGATGAGATAAGGTAGCGAATGAACTGCTGGGTGTTATTGTAAATGGAACGACCCTCCTCAATGGCGCTCTCAATGGTGGCAAAGTTGTCATCAGCGAGAACCATGTCGGCGGCAAGCTTGGAAACATCAGTGCCGGAACCCATGGCAACACCAATATCAGCCTTCTTGAGAGCGGGGGCATCGTTGACACCGTCACCAGTCATGGCAACGACCTCACCCTGCTGCTGGAGCAGGTCAACAAGCTTCGACTTGTGGCTGGGCTCAACGCGAGAGAACAGGGAAGCAGTACGAGCAGCCTCGGCAGCCTCGCTCTCACTCAAGTTCTCAAATTCTCTGCCGGTGAAACTCTTGCCCTTGAGGTCCTCATACTCGCTGAAGACACCAATCTGTCTGCAGATGCTCTCCGCAGTGTTGCGGTTGTCTCCAGTGATGACAATAACACGAATACCAGCGGCCTTGCACTGGCGAATAGAGGCGGCGACTTCGGGGCGAGGGGGATCAAGCATGCCAACCAGACCAAGGAAAGTGAGATTCTGCTCGAGCTGTGCGTACTGTGCGGTAGACTTTGCTGACTTCAACAGGGGGTTGTTGCCAACGTTGTCGACACTGGCGAGAGCAATGACACGGAGACCACGGTTGCCGTAGTCGACAACCTCCTTGGAGATCAGATCAGAGAGCTTGCGGTCGAGGGGCTGGCGCTTTCCATTGGCGCCAACCAGAGCGTGAGTGCACCGTTCAATGATAGACTCAGGGGCGCCCTTGACAAGAAGCTTCTTCTCTTGGCCGTTTTGAACCAGAACAGACATGCTCTTGCGGTCTCTCGAGAACTCGTAGGTAGCAAGGCGGGGGAAATCATTCTCGTACTTAGTGCTAGCGTAGTGAATGCAGTCCTCGGGGTTGCTGTTGGACGGGGCGCAGGGACCAATCTTCTCAACCAAAACCCTCAGAGCACCCTCGGTGGGCTCGCCGACATTGGAGTAGGCGGCACTTCTAGCGTCGTACGCGAGCTTGGAGTCGTTGCAGACAGCCGCAACTTCAGTCATCTGGCGAATGGTAGCAGACGAGCGGGTTAGATCAGTGACCTTCTCGCCGTTGAAAGAGATGGAACCCTTGGGGGCAAAAGTGGTGCCTTCAACGTCAAGCTCGACCAAGTCGCTGCCATTCTCGTTGAGGTAGACGATCTTGCTCACACTCATCTGGTTGGTGGTCAGAGTACCGGTCTTGTCGGAGCAGATAACGCTGCAGCTTCCCAGTGTCTCAACCGACGGCAGACTTCTGACAACGGCGTTCTTTGCAGCCATCTTGCGGGTGCCCAGAGCCAAACAGGTGGTGATAACGACAGCGAGACCTTCGGGAATAGCGGCAACGCCGAGAGAAACAGCGATCTTGAGGTAGTAGATAGCACCCTTGGTGAAGCTTCCGTGACTGGGGTCGCTGAAGTGGGGGATGTTGATGAGCCAAACCAGAATGCAAATGACCGTAATGACCTTGGCGAGGCTGTCACCGAAGTCGTTGAGCTTCTGCTTGAGGGGAGTCGGCTCGGAGATCTGAGCAGTGATGCTCTCGTGAATGTCACCAATGGCCGTCTGAGATCCGGTCAAGACAACGACAGCCTTAGCACGACCAGTAACAACAGTCGTTCCAGAGAACAACATGTTGACCTGGTCCTGCAAAACAGCCCTGTCATCCTTGACAACGAAGGTGTGGTCCTTGCCGACACTCTCACTCTCTCCGGTCAGGATGGCCTGGTCGACGGCGAAGCTGTTGCTCTCGATGGCGACAAGTCTGCAGTCGGCAGGGATGCGATCACCAATGTGAACGGACACGATGTCACCGGGGACGAGGTCCTCGGCCTTGACGCGGGAGACATGGCCATTGCGAATGACGTTGGCCTCGTTGGCGGAGTACTCCTGGAGGGCGGCGATGGCTTTCTCGGCGCTGCTCTCTTGTGAGACACCAACGACGGCGTTGAGGATGAGAATGGTCAGAATCTGGAATACCGGCACTGTTAGCCCGAGAAAGTCTTGGTATTGTGGGTATATGCATCTGGGATTACGTACCACTGCTGGGTCAACGAAGGCGCTCCAGCCTTCCTCCTGGTCGAACAGGGCGAGGACAAACGAGACGGCGGCTGAGCCGAGAAGAATTATCACGAGTTGGTCCTTGAACTGCTCGAGGATAAGCTCCCAGATGGGAGTGGGCGGGTCTTCGGGGATGACTGCGGACAGACCGTTAGCACGGAGCTATCGTGGGTTTCGGGTCTCGTGTCGCAAAGCAACTCACCATTTCTGCCGTGCTTCGTTCTTGAAGCAATGACTTGCTCATCAGTAAGACCGGTATTGGGGTTCACTCCCAGGGTAGAGAGAACCTTGTCGGTGGGTGAGGCGAAAGCGCTCTCCATCGCGAAAGATGCGCCGAGCGCGGAACGTGGCTTATCGAGAACCGGCAACAGCTAGCCGAGCTTCAACGGTGATCGATATCGAGATCCGGCGTATTGATGGGAACGAGAACGGTAGTTCTTCAACAGGGGAAGAAGAGGGAAAGAAACTCCAAACCTGTACCGAACAAAAGGTTTAGGAGTCAAAGATATGGAGGAGAGAAGGTGCTGGAAAAAGTAGGAGATCAGACAGCCAGCATATCTTATTGCACTGGCGGTGGGGCAGGAAGCTGAAATCGTCGCCGAACAGCCAGTTTCCAATACGCTCTACGTGTTCGTTCAGTGGCCGGTGCCAGGCTACCCTTCTGCAACTCTACTTTTTTTTGCCGTCGAGAAAGATCCCGAGCTAGTCCGTCTCCGGCTAGTCTCGGTGGGGGGCTCCCCCTGCTACAGAGGTCCCAAGGTCCCAAGGTCCCAGCTTTTCCCCTGTGTTTCCCTGTCCGGATCGGGGACTAGCCACTGCGACGATGAGGCTAGAAAACGTGGGGCAAGGGCCAATCAAGGTCTCACGCAGCATGCTGCAGACGGCAACTCCAGCCAGGGCGGGGAGCGCGTAGGGCAGAGCAGCAGAAAGGGACAAGTCATCATCAAACACTGAGTTTGCTGCTGCTGAGCATCTGAGCACCGGGAAACACCAGCAGGTGGCAGCCTCGCAGTGTTCAGCACTCAGGTGTCAGATCTACGGCCTGGGAGTGGGTGCCTTCGTTTCGTTAATTAGTAAGCTTACTTCGGCAAAGTGTTGACCCTGTCTCTATCGTAGCTTACCCGACATGAGTGCCTACCTGTCAATTGGTGAGGTATGATGTATCCTGCTGCCGCCTTATCGATCCATCCAGGTGCCCTACTTAGGTAAGCGAGCTGCGATGATGATGCTTACATAAGAGTGCTGGGCAAGCGTGAAAAGGACACTTCAGAAACGAAACGACTGCCCATTCCCGATACGAACCAAGGCCCGCGGGCCCCGTCTTTCCTGGACTGGGACTAGGCCGCTCCGGAACCACCAGACCCATCGCCGAGACCGAGTCAGGTTTTAAACGAAGCCGAACATGCGGCGAACGGCAATGCAACGCATGCAATCGCATCGTGGGCTCATGTCTTGCGTAAGGTAGGACGAAGACGTGGGCCATCGGCGGCGATTAACGTCTTCATACCCACTTCAAAGTCGCTGAGGTCTCAAAACTTTTCCACGCATCATGTTGTATTCCTCGGGCGCGCGATGCTGGGCAAAGCCACCGAAGCCAATAGTTGGGCAGGGGCGAACGGATGGCAAATCTTGATGACCGGTACACGCCAAAGAGACCGGTAGACAGAGCGTCCTTTGTCTCCCGCTCACTACGCCGCTCGTCGAGACATGGCGCTGATAGAAGGCGGCCCGTCACCGCCATGTTGAGCTGGCCATGTATGAAGGACGCCATCTTCAGAAACCTGCATCGAGCTTCAATCAGTCCCAATCGTCACATCCGGACCAGAGGACAGCATCAGCATCATATGCATGTTCCGGCTGGACGTTGGTGCAACGCCGCCGTCCAATTCGCGTCGGCGACGCAAGATCCACGGATCTTGACCCGACAACGAGTCTCACACTAGCTCTGCATTTTCTCGTCCGCTGCATGCCGCAGCTGCATTCCTCCCGTCCGGTTCGTTGGTAGACTCGCCGGGTGCGACTTTCCACTGCAGGTCCGTACCACGCCGCGCTTTCTCGTCGGAGCCAACCTGTGAGAGCTATGCAGCTTGATCGTCGTCAGGACTCGAAGCCGGCGAAGCAAGTGCGCGCGACATAGTCCCGGCCAAGTTCCAACTACGTGGTTTCGGCCAGGACTTTCCACTCCTCAATTCCATTGTCTGTTCTAGCCTCCAGACTTAGCCTCCAGACTTCCTCCTCCGCCGTGTTGAAAGAGCCATCCCACCTCCTGCTCTTTCTCCAATTCCTCCCTTCCCTCCTTCGCTCTAGTCAACCCCCACAGGACTTCGTCCCGTCTCCTTGAGTCAGGAACTCCAAGCCGCGACATCATCCTCGTTGGCTTCTTCAACCCTCCCGAAAAAAAACCATCTCCCGTAGCTCGCAGTCCTACCAATTTTGCATCATTCATCTCCTGGTGTTGCTCACGTACATCATGTTTTGAATCCTCTTGGGCTTGCTTTTTGCTTCTTCTCTTTTTTGGTGTCTTGGAACCCAGTCTTACTATTCTCTTTCTTGGACCTCAAAATGGCATCGCCATCGCCACCAGACTCTACATCTATTGGAACAAGTTCCCGCTCAGGTTCCGTCCGAATCACCCGTAAGACATGTCCCGCCACATCCAATACCCCGTCGCCAACGCCCCGGCAACACTCATCCACCACGGACGACCAACTCGAAGATGTCGACCTTTCATCTGAACTTGACGGCCTACATATTGACGGCGTCGAAGTGTGGGACACTCTGAGTGGCATGGCTGCTTTTGGGCTCGAGCACGATAGCAACAACTCATCCGGCAACACTACCCCATTCCCTCGCATCTCAATGGACGACAGCGACGAAGACGTTCAGGAGCTGTCAGAGTCAGACGCACCAGGTAAACACCATGGACCTTTTCACAAATGGATGAGGAACCTGCACCGACGAGCCAGGCAACGCCCCAAAGCTATGAACGCGGATGGCACACTACCTTGGAAACTCCTCGACCCGGCTGATAGGTCAGCTCTCTCTCGGAGGACTCGACACAGGAGGTCATCATCAGGCTCATCTTTCGGTTTTGTTGCGGCAGTGAGAAGTGCTAGTGTCAGTCTTGCGAGCGGCAGCGTTATGTCCCGTCCTCGGGGATACGCCCGCCGTTCCTTTGCCCAGTCCAGAACCGATCGCAGCAGTAGAGCGTCCTTCACCGCAACAAGGTGCTCAGAGGACAGTTGCCATGTTGAGTGGCCTGTAAGGGCTGACCCGATGGCAACGGAGCGTGCTTTACAACGCCGGCGCATCTTGGAGGAGCTCATTCAGACCGAGGAAGGCTACATTGGGGATATTCGCTTCCTCATGAATGTATGTCTCCAGCCAAGCACGGTGACCTACGGAGCTAAACATCGCAGGTATACATTACGATTCTTGCGTCTCTCCCGACATTGCCAATGGGTTTGAGGTCTTCGATCAATCGAAATCTTACCGACATTGTTGAACTGCACGAAGAGCTCTTGGGGGAACTGCACAGAGTTGTCCCAGACTCCGAGTATTCGCAAGCAGATGTCCCTGCTACAACTAGCAAAGTCCCTACTCGTGGCCACCAACGGTTAAGAAGTCTCGATTCTGTGCCAGAAGACGACAGGGCCATAAGCTGGCTGCAAGATGTTCCTGGGATGATGTCAGAAGCACAGACAGCGGGCGCCGTCGCCAAAGTCTTTAGCAGAAAGGTAGGCTCTCAGCTGATTTAGGTTACTGCAAAGTGGCTAACAAAAACGAGATGAACCGGTTCTTCGTTTATGAGGAATACGGAGCCAAGTATGAGCTGATGATCAAGGATGTCGCCTCAGCCCACCGCACGATGCCCCAATGGGATACTTACCAGAGGGGTATCGAGGCGCTGGCTTCTTCATTAGGTTCTGCAAACTCCCATGCCGATCAATCAAAGAAGTCATTGACTATTGGAGACCTCCTCGTGAAGGTAAACACCAAGAGTCTTGGACGTGTGCGACCACAAACTAACACGTAACCAGCCGATTCAGCGCATCTGCAAGTATCCGCTTTTGTTTGCCGAGCTCCTGAAATACACGCCCGTCGCAGACTGCCCCAACTCCCACATGGAGGTGGAGAGTGCGCTTCTCCGGTTGCGAGAGGCGACGGCGGAGATCAACCGGGCAACCAACGATACTCGGATGAAGTCTACCCTGGAAAAGACGTGGATTCTCCAAGATCGGCTGGCCTTCCCCGAACAAAAGCTAGATGCTGCATCAAAGAATCGGATCCGATCATTTGGCCATGTCGAGCTTTGCGGCGTGCTGCATATATGCTGGCAAACCAAGGAGGGTGCCAAGGGGCAGTACATGATTTGCCTTCTCTACCACAATATCCTGTGTCTAGCTTCGGCCAGCAAGGTCGACCAGATTTATACGATCCAAGCATGTGTCAACTTGAACGGTATCAAGATTGAAGAAACGGACAACGGTCGGGGTAGGTACACAGCTCACTGTCTGCTCTGGCCCGTTATACTAACACAAGTGCAGGTCTACAGTGTCATACGGCTCCGTTCTCGTGGAAACTTGTATTCGAATGCGACTCCCAACTGTATGAAATACTCATGACTGCATGCACGCCGCGCGAGCAGGAGGAATGGCGCCGCAGGTTGTCGATTCCCAACAAGAGAAATGAGGAGCAGGTCGATCCCAACTTGTACAGCTCTATTGCTCTCCCTATCCGAAGCCTGGGCACGGTGTTTAGAAAACCAGGTTAGTTGTTACGACTGCCAGAGTATCGATTGTTGCTGACCACGATCAAGGCACTGTTGCTCGTCGAATATCGATCCATCGTGCCACCACCGTGGGCCCGAAGTCGCCCTTGTGCCAGGTCATTCTTAAGAATACCAGCGTTATGCGGGATGGCTCGGAGGGAACTTCGAGCTCATCGATCAATCGCTCGCAGTCGTTGCTCACAACAGCAAACCCGCGCATACCCGTTATTGCTCCTCCACGCGGCGAAAGAGCACGACTAGAGGCTTTGATGTCTGACATTTGGAGTCGCGAAGTGCTGCCGTTCCCTAGCATGAATAGCAGGTCCCGCAGCGAGCATCTTGTCCGGAGCTCCGCCAGCACTGTGATGCGGAAATTGAGTGTGGCGAGCATCGCCAGCTCCTTCGCGAAGAGGTCAAACAGCGTGGCTAGCATAGGCAAGTTCATGTCGGAGGATGACTCGGGCGAGAAACAGGAGGACGCACATCACGGACCTTCCACCAAGCTTACCAAGGCTGAGCCTTTCGACGTTAAGCACGTTTCCGATGACGAAGCGAGTGAAACAACAACTGCCCGGCTTCCGAAGATTGACGACGATGTCGAATTCAAAAGCACGGTCAGCGCTCCCACGACGCCAATGTTGGGCCCGGTCAAGCTTGACGTGCACGCCGATCCAATTGAGCGGCTGCGGCTAGAATGTGACAAAGGAGTGGCAGGAAACGCTCTACATTCTAGGCCGATTGTTCTGCGTACGGCGTCGGGCAATAACATCCCTCGAGCTCGTCGAAGCCCAATGCCGTCCAAGAGGTCTCCTCGCCCACTGGACGCGGTTAACCAAGCTCGAGCACAAAAGATACCCAGGCTGTCCCACAAGCCGTCGCTACGATGGGGAAGAGTTGGAACATTGAACAAGGAGGACTGGGTGCAGGGCATCCGAAGCTTCTTCCGATAAGCAGGAAGCTATGACTAACGAATGTTCATCACTACGGTTGACAGATTGGGTTGGATGGGAGCATGAAGATATCACATTCGTTATTTGACCCCTCGTTGGGTAATCTACGGTACCCGAGGCAGTCGGCCAGAGGTGACCTGTCCCCAGCTATTCTTAGTTTACGCAGCATTAGGCTGTTTTGGTCGTCGAGCAGACGAGAGCATAATGATACCCCTCCATTGCATGAAAGCTGGGGCCTTTGGCGTACGTGTCGCGTGTGATGTCAGTGAGGCCATCGTGAGGGTTTGCAATGTGGCTTGATCTTTGATTGCCTCTGGTGGAAGGTAAACGGATGTCCGACCTCTCCAGGTTTTGGGAAGCTCCCACCAGGTTCAGCTCCAGCTCTTGAGCCCCACAATGGCATGCTGCTGTGGTGATTGCTGGTCAGCGAGGCTCGGGTGACTTGCGTCAAGGTACCCCGCGACACGAAAGTGCGGGAATTCCAAGGAGGCTGGACCTGCCCCGATGTTCCTTTTCCATCTGGATCATTCCAGGCGCAACGTGTGAAAACCCCTTTGGCCTAAATCTTGGTCAGAGAATTAGCAGTGACGTACTAGAGTGGTGTAATGCAGGAACGCTCAGTGTTCCCGGTACCTAATGGCGACGTACCTGGAAGGAGCACGGAGGCACTGGTGCCCCGCTCCCTCCCTGAGCAAGCTCGAATGGCGGGGCAGTGATGAAAGGCAGTCGCGTGTTCCCGCACCTATGACGTAGCTTTCTAATCACAAGCTGTACAGCTCCTGCCCTCTCCTGCCTTAGCTGAGGAAGCTCCCCTCCCTAGCCTACGGTTTAAAAAGCCTTTCAAGAAGCTCCCTTCTACGTTCATTCCACAAATCAATCACCATCACCTCAACAATATCAAGATACCCGACGATCCTCGTCTTCACACACACACAATCAAACACCAGCGAAAGACCTCCATTGGAGTTCAGTATCACACACCATCACCACACCTACCTACCACCTACAACACCCACACCACAGTCAAAATGGTTCGCGGCGAGGCTCAGCAGACCAAGGTCCACTACAAGGGCGCCAACGACGACTTCCTCATCTTCGTCGAGGACCCCGAGCTGTACAAGAAGTGGAAGGGCGATAAGTCCGTTCCCTTGGCTCACTTCGTCTCCTCATTCAAGATCTTCGTCACGCACAAGTAAGTCTACCACCGTCTGCACACATCATCAACTCTGTCGGCCTATCATTTCTTTACCCTTTCGACCGTCTGAAGACACTGGCGGCTGGCGATACGCATCAATCTCATAATGGCGGCTTGGGTCGTCGGTGGTTGGCCAAAGGCTGCACTCTTCCCGCCGACCGACTTGGAGACCTACCCCTCACCCCTTCGTCACCACCACATCAGCCTCAATGGTGCGCGCGGCGGCTAACAACCCAAATAGGCAGGGCGCACAGGGCACTTACGATGCCGCCTCCAAGGCTTCATTGGAGAACGAGTTCGGCACCCACGTCGATGAGGATGTCATCAAGCAGATCTTGGAGAAGGGTGACACACAGAACGTTGAGGTAAGTTTCACGTCGATTCAGAATTGGTCACTCATACTGACGAACCCTCGACAGTTCCCCGACCGTCAAGGTCCCAAGAACGACTCCCAGGGCGGCATGGTTGCCCACTAGGAGGCTTCTCTGGCAAGACCATGCACCGGCTGAGTCGGCATAGACTGTCTCGCAACCGGAAGGTAGTCTCAAGACGACCCCACGGATCGAGACGTACGCAAAGATTATCCAGGCGTAATGGATCAAAGCGTTGAATTTTGAGCGATGATGTTGTGCAGAAATGGTCAGCGAAGGAATTGCGCTGGGACGAAGGATATTCGACATCAGGATGGGAACAGACATAATGAATCGTGGCATATGACCATTGCAATGGCGGGGAAGGTTTTTGCAGGTGGGCTACTATGAAAGTGGAATGCTACCTTGCTAAATAACCTTAAACAATCCCCCCGAGCTCGCCAAGGGCTCACATCGACGCCAGTGTTAAGCCACGGGTCGATTGCATGGATTTCTACCTTAGTGATAAGATAGTTAATCATGAGCGCATGACATCCCAATTCATTTTCGTTCCTTACTTGGCATCTTGCCGAAACCCACGCGCAACACCATCTAGCTACCTACTGCAGGAACCAAAAACCAGACGATTTCTCGGGGCGCATGCAACACACGCGAGAGAGGTGGTGTGTCCTGTCAAAAGAAGAGAAAAAAAAAATCGGTGTGGTGGGGTGTTAGTCACTGTCCACCGTCCAACACCCGCTGCTCGTGATGTGGGCCCGTTTCGACAGTGTTTCGGGCGGGTGTTGTGAGCGTGGAGACCTCGCAACGGCCCCTGCTCTCTCTTTTTCGTCGCTGTCGTCTCAAGAAATCTCGCCAATACTCTCTCTCTCTCCTCTCCGTGACTTGCTTGTTCCTTGCGCCCACAGACAGGCACGGCTGTGATGATAATAGAAGCGGTGCTATCGTCCCGTTTTGGGGGCAATTGGCCGTTGGGCAAAACCGCTTCACCTCCGCCACACCCCCGGGCTATATGTGAAGGGATGCGATGGGCGAATCCACATTTGCAATTTGCACTGCCCTACGCAAATTGCAAGATTGTAGCCGCATTTCTTGTTTAAATTTTCTCCGCTGGGACCCGAGCCTCTAAAGCGACATGGCCTAGGTCGAATACGAGAATTTGACGTTAGGTTGTCGCTTTTTGGTAGGCTTCTCCTTTCGGGAGGAGGGCTGACTGGATACTTACTCAGGGTCTTGTCAAATGATGTAAGGTTTTTTTTTGTTTTTTTTGTCTTCTTCTGGAAGGATGGGAAGAAAGTAGGGGTGAACATGTCAGCGTGTGTTAAGCTTGTTTGCCGTCTTTACCGTGAAGTTTGAGCAAGTTTTCCCCAAGCGGCAACTGAAAGGTATGGGGGGAGGGCAGAGGGAGCAGAGCAGGGCATGGATGGGCTGGGTTGGTCATTCACAATGGGCCGACGGATGGATCGTGTAAGTTGCTTTAGCAAGTTCTGGTCTTCTTGACATTAGGTTGTAGCATTGGTATGGCTATTCGCTATGGTATCCAAGGCCACGTTCTCTTTTGACAGCGATGGCTTCTTTCCCCCCTTCCCTTACGTGGTAGAAGAGGCACACTCTTCTTCTTCTTCTTCCTTTCTTCCTCCCACCATCCATCCCATCCATCCGAGCCCCACAACCCAAGATGGTGTTGAGCCGGGCTTCGGGATGATACAACCGCCAAGGATGCCTCCTGTCTCCGTGGCCACCGACGTCAGCCCATGAGGCTCGTGAAGGTCCCCGCTCTTGCGAAACAGGACGAACGAATACCAACATGGTTGACCCTGCCCCCCTGTCCACCTTTCCTCCTCTTCGACCACCCACACACACCAGAAGAAAGTGATTCGCCCGACGCTTAGAGATGACTTGCAGAGAGAAAATTGACCCGAAAAGGAAATCTTTCTTTTGTCTTTCGAGAGGTCCGTTTTTTAGCCGTGTTGGTTTTTTGTTGAGTTTTTGATGGACAATTGGAAAGAAGAAAACTCGATTTTTCCCTGTCGGATTGAGGAGGAAAAACGCCGATGCTAGATGCCGTGATATTCGATTGAAATCGTATCGTTAAAAACATGTATAAGAAATTCGGTTGGAATCATTGCTCAGAGAAAGAACGATTAGGGTTCCGTAGGTTCGTCCGAGTTTGCGGGTGGAGGTTGGTATAGCTCGTCGTAAAGTTGAGTGTTGCACACGGGTTGTCTCTTGGTCAGGTTGTAAGCCCGTGAAGTCGAGACGGGTTGTGCACACCGGGTGATGAGCGTAGAAGGCGAGATTTGAGTTTAGACCTTGCCGCGAGCGCCTCTTTGGGGGAGTGTCCAGGGCTTAGCGCAGATGATCTCTCCTTCGCTGTAGGCCCAGAAGTAGACGACAAGAGCGATGAGGTAGTAAAGGGCAGCGTTGGTGCCTTGGTAGATGAGGGCGGCGGCGAGGGTCGTGAGAGGAAGCATGATGAGGCGGAACTCCAGACTGCGGTGGATCGCGCTGCCGGCGATGAGAGGCATGGGCCATTCGAGGGCCACCATGAACACCGACATGATCAGATTGATAATCTGCAGTACCGGTATAGGCTTGACGGCCGGATCCAGGGTCTTGGTCAAAAAGTCCCAAAAGATCTTGGGCCAGAAGAAACCCTCGAGAGCGGCTCCAAACTGGTCTGTCAAATAGAGTTAGCAATTAGCGCGATGGCGTGGGCTTGGGCCCGTTGGTGTAAGTCTGAACTTACAAACTGCAGCGCTCATGACGATGAGGCGAGCCCAGTGGTTCTTGATAAGACGACCCATCTTTCTCGATTACGAAATACTGATGTTGACTTTCTTGATGTCTTTGAACCCTTCTTTTCCTCTCTCTTTCTGATTGCTCAGTTGCGGTGTCGTATAGAAACGTCTTAGTGATATCCTTTTCTGCCTGTTGCGCTGAAACCCTTCGATGACCTCGTGTGATCGTGATTGTCGTTTGAACCTCTTGCTACCCAAAAACCCGAAAACCAGCGAATGAAGGGAACGAGGGAAACGGTCGTCGAGATCGGAGTCCTCTCTTGCGTAATAAAATCGGGTTGGTGCAAAAAAGGCGACTCAGTCGAAGAGAACCGTGCAACGGCGAAAGGAAAGGAAAGGTACCGGACCTGCGGGTTGAAGGAAGAAGTGAAGGCGTCGAACAGAAGTATGTCGATATTAAAAGAAGGCTATCGACAGGCTACGCTGGCGAGGCAAAAGAAGAGAAGGTGCGAGAGAGAAGGACTAAAAAGTGTCAACCGATCCCAAGGCGGGGAGGGCAGACAGATCTATATTGAGACGAGAAGAGTCGGGATGGGATGAGACGTCCTGGAGTGGAAGTGCCAACAGACCAGGGGTCTGGGGGGGGGTGAAGTGGGTGGTGATGGGTGGAGAGGAGGTGTCGAGGGAAGTGTGGGC